CCTCACTCCATATCAGCTGGATACATCACTCCCAGCTGTAGCACTCCATGGCTATGTCCTTGTCCAGGGGCTCAGGAGTCTCCAGGTCAACAGGAGTCTATGGAACTGGTTGAACGAATTCCAATCACTTTCAAATTTAGAACAAGATTTCTATTTTTACTACAAAGTTAGGAGTATGGGAAGTATTAAGGGATTACTTTAATTGGTATGTCTAAGAGCTGTGTATTAGGAATTTTAACTTGGGCTCTTGAACTAAAATTAACTCCCCTATAGGGATTCATTATTAAGAGCTCTCTCTCTCTCTCTTTTTAAAATAAATAAATATATTGAAAAGCAGTTCTACCTTAAGTTGTCTCCTGTCTAGTATGAGTGCCAAAATCTACTCAGCTGCTGTCTAAAATATTGAGTTCCAGAATGAGCACATCATTCTAGAAACAAGGGAAAACATTTAAACTATTCTAAGTACCCTATTAATTAGTGTATTTCATCTTTCTTTATCCCTCCCAGTGCTTAAGGTTTAATTTTAGTTTGCATATTTATTGAGCAGTTATTAAATGCTTACAATGGGCCATTCATTATACTAGTCTCTGAGAATACCAAGAAGGCTCATATATAGTCTCTGGAATTGGGAAACTTCCTAAGTCTGGTGTATGACATGAGTCTGGTAATTATAGTGCATAATCCATAGGCTTGTGCTATATTTTAAGAATAATAAGAAAACTATGAAGTAGTTTTTTATAGTCAAATTTACACATATGGACTATATAACAGATCATAATTAAGATGAAAAATATGTAATAAAGAGACTGTGATATTAGGAATCCAAAAGATCCGTGTGCACCATTTCAGGAAAGATTTTATTTAAAGAGATAATAAGCCTTAAAGGCAGGAAACATTTTCCAAGCTGATGAAGAGAAAAGATATGTTTTTTTAAAACATTTTATTGTGGTTTGGATAAAAGCTTACAAAGTACATTAGTTTCCTATTCAACAATTTATATGTATTTTGCTTCATGATATTAGTTACAATCTACTTATTATAACTGCATTCTTCCTACTTCCTCCCTGGGTTCCCTATTTCTATTTGCTCTTCTTACTGCCCCTTCCTACCTTTTGGACTTTGTTTTGGGGCAAATGCTGCCCTTTTGGTCCTGTGTGGTTGATTGTTGTCAAGAATACATTCCCAATGGGGGTTGTTCACTTTATAGGCCTGTTGGTTGTTTGGCAGGTAATCCCCAAGGGTAAATTCCATTACAGGTTTGAAAGGTGTCTAAGGTCCATAGTCTCCGGGGTTCCGCCAGCCTCTATCAGACCATTAAGTCTTTTTTACGATTTTGAATTATAGTCTATATTTTTCTCTTACTCTAAGACCTTGCATTGTAATCCTGACCAGAGCAGTCAGTAGTGTTAGTGAGATATCAGCTGGTTCTTCTGGCTAGTGGAGGTTGTGGTTTATGTGGTCCATTAGTTCTTTGGATTAATTGCTTCCTTGAGTCTCCAATTTTCTTCACTCTTCTTTGCTCTAGACAGGGAGAGACCAACATAAAGACCCTAGTTGCTATTCACCAAAGCAGAATGTAGAACATTGTATTTGTAGACTGTTGTTAAATGCAGCTGAGTCAGTTGGGACTCATAGCAACCCTGTATAGGGTATCTGAGGAACAACTTGTGGTTCAAACAGACCTTGTGGTCCAGTGCTTTAGTCTACAATGCCATACCTATGGTATGTTAATAAACCTAGTTGTCCTGAGGGTGTGGTCCTAAGCTCACAAGTCCACTGATTTTCCAATGAAAGGCTTGTAAGGGAAAATACTAGAGAAGTAGAAATACCAAAAGAAAAAATTTGACAGAAATTGGGGATATATTGACTATGATTTAGTGATGATAAGAGAGAAAAAGAGTAATTTAAAATGGCACCCAAGTTTCAAGTTTCAGTGATTGAAAAGAGATGGTATCCGTGATATAATGGATATAAAGAAAAGAAAATAAGTTAATAAGAAGAGATGGGATACTAAACCAGATACTTTTCTTACTATGGATTTCTTCTTTTTAAGTTAATAATCTAAAATTTTTCTTTGGATTTAATTCCAAAAGAAATGAAGGTCCCTATTATAGTCATGGAGTGCTGGCGTGGTGATGTAGGTTAATGTGCTGTACTGCAAGGTTGGCCGTTCAAGTTCACTAGTCACTTTTCAGAAACACTATTCAGGGTCACGATGACTCGGAACCGACTTGACGGTACTTAACAACAACAACAACACTACAGTTATGGAATCCTGGTGTGGCACAGTAGGATAAGCAGTCACCCACAAAGTCAATTTGAACCACAGGTTGGCAGTTCAGACTCACCAACCACTCCTCGGGAACCCTGTACAGGGTCGCTATGAGTCGGAACCAACTCGGCAGCACTTAACAATAACAGCAACATTATAGTCTTGGAGTCCTGGTGTGACATTGTAGGATAAGCACTGGACTTCTCACCATAAAGTTGATGGTTCAAACCCATCAGCCATTCCTTGGAAATCCTATCCAACACTGCTGTGAGTCAAAACTGATTTGATGAGTCTTGACGGCACTTAACAGCAACAACATTATAGTCATGGAGTCCTGGTGTTGTGCTGTAGGATAAGCACTGGACTGCTAACCATAAGGTCGACATTTCAAATCCACCAGCTGCTCCTTGGAAAACCTGTACATGGTCTCTATGAGTCGGAACCAACTCAGTGGCACTTAACAACAACATTATAATCATATTTACTTAATTGTAAATTCTAACTTTACTCCCAGAAATATAATTTTAATACAACCTGAACACAAAGTAGAGAATTTATATTAACTTTTTAGCACCTAACACATTCATTAAGATCTTGGTCTTCATAGTCTTCAGGCAGAAGTTAGGTTGGGTGAAGGGTAGGTAGTATTTCTTCTCTACTACAGATTGGGCAAGGTGGATTACAGTGGAACTGTGGGATGGATACAGGAATGCAAGATAGCAGTGCTACCAGTTCTCTGTCTTCATGCTTGTTAGACAGACTTCTTTATCAGTTATTTTAAACTACCCAAATACAGAGGGCTAATTTGTCACAAATTACTAGTATTAGTACCAGGTTAACAGAATTTATATAGTAGTGCTGCTCTTCAACTTCCAGTTCAAAATAAGTATTACTCATAATACTTGAAGTAACTGGAATCTAGTTCAATCTGTTTGCTGCATTAAAATCATCTGTGACGGAATGTTTGTCAATGAAACTTTCAAATTGATTTATCTTTGTTCATTGTCTTTTATTTGTAGTTCTGGGAAATGCCAGTGCAAAGTGGGTGTCACTGGTTCTACATGTCACCGATGCCAGGATGGATATTATGGCTTCACCAAGAGTGGCTGCCTACCCTGCCAATGCAGTAATCGTTCTGCCAGTTGTGATGCCCTCACAGGTACACATTTTCCTCATTTCATTATTTAATTAGTCCATTGTTCTCTTTATTTTTAATTCCTTCAGATAAAGGTTAATTCTTCCAAGATGGTAAGGGTCTTTCTTGTCTAAGTAAGGCGTTACTGGTCACAGCAACCAAGCTCCTGCTACAATACTTGGAATATACATATTTAAAGGTTGGAGAACTATGGAAGAAATAAGAGTGTGATAAACTAAAACTCCCCAGAAATGGTAGAACTCTTCCTGCGTGAGGTGATGGTCACCAGCCATCTTTTTCCTGGGGGATATTTGCTAATTCTGGGCACAGGATAAGGAGCAGACTTGGCATAAGCAAAGGAATTTTACTAGGAAAGATACAAGAAGATGCTAGAGCAGTTGTCTGGAACTTGCTTGATAGGTTGGAAACAAGAGGAGATCCAAATCCAGGCCAGTTTACCAAAGAACATTGACTGACTATGTAGGAGGGGGAGAGCAATGCCAAAAAGGTCAAAACAAACCTCGTTCAGTCTTGTAGTATTCAGGAAACAAGAATTCTTTGGAGAAAGAAAGCCTTCTACAACATACAACTATTTCTTCCTCCTTGCCAGATTCTGCAGATGTGTAGCCTGGGACCTGAACTGCCAAAGAGCAGTGCTGAATCTCTTGTAGTCTTTCAGGGCTGAGGAACACAGGCCTGTCAGACTCTCAGTCAAAAACCTGGGAGGACCAGGATCAAGGAATAATGATGAATCAGAGGTGAGCTGACTTATGCTAAAACTCAATTCCAACCTCAGTACAGCTCAGTTTCTGCTTGAGTTGAGGTAATCCTCTTCTTATATCTGCCTAACAAAGGAAAGGGGGTCCCTCCCTAGTTCTGTTATGCACTCTGTTTGGCATATATACTCAGTACTATACAATGCAAAGATGCAGGAAAATGTGACTAATAATAAAGATAAAAAAATTAACAATGGAAGTAGATCCACAGATAATCTAAATATTATAGTTAGCCTACAAAGATTTTTAAATAAACAAAATTACTGTTTTAAGAAAATAGAGGAAAACTATGTGAAGAGGAAAAAATTCAACAGAGAACTGGAAACTGTAAAAAATAATTCAGTAGACATTCTAGAACTGAAAACACAACATCTGAAATTAAGACTCATTGCATGGATTAAAGCAGATTGTGGAAGAGCAGGAAAAAAACAATAATAGTAAACTTGAAGACAGTTCAATTCAAAATAACTAAATGAAGCATGGAAAAAATAGAACAGTGCAGGAAAGACATTTAAAATATAGCCCAAAGGTTGCATGTATATGCAATTCGAGTCTCAGGAAGTGAGGAGGGAGATATTGGAACAGAAACAGTATCTGAAGAGGTAATGACCATTTTCCAAATGGAGGAATTACATCAATCCAAAGATTCAGAAAGCTCAGCAAATACCAAGCAATATCAAAACAAAGAGAACCACATCTAGGTAATCTTAACTAAATATTCATCCTAAATATAAGGATTAGAGATTCTCCGCTCCACCCCCACCAAAAAAAATATATATCAGGACACAGTAATCTGAATAGTACGTGTATTTCTGAGAACAAATTAACAGAAAATTTGATATCGAAAGTGTCCTAGAAAATCTGTGTTAAAATCTTATACTTTATTTAATTCTCTATGGTGAAAAAAATTTTACTTAGAAGAATTTATATTATTATTTTATTTGACCTACCTGTTTTATTTTGGGAGTCCTGATGTGGTGCTGTGTGTTAATGCACTGGACTACAAGGTTAGTTTGAACCACAAGGTTGGTGGTTCAAACTCACCAGTCACTCCTTGGAAACCCTTTCTTTACAGGGTGCTATGAATCGGAACTGACTTGACAGTATATAACAACAACAACATTTTATTTTGAGCTATTCTTTTTCCTTAATATCTGTGATCTAGTCACATTGGCTTCTGTTTCTAAAATGAGCCATTTCCCTGGTCTCTAATTTCTCATACATGATCACTCTTCTGCCTAGAAGGGTCTGTCTAATCTACCTTACTCCCACCCTTATTCCCTTGATTTGTCAAATCATATTCCATCATTTCCTTAGAAAGAAGGAACTGTGGTGGCACAGTGGGTTAAACTGCTGGAATTCTAGTCAGAAGGTCAGCTGTTCAAATCCACCAGCCAATTCCGTAGGAGAAAGATGAGGCAGTCTGCTTCTGTAAAGATTTACAGACTCGGAAGCCCTAGGGGACAGTTCTACTCTGTCCTATAGGGTCACTGTGAGCTAGAATGGGACAGTTCTACTCTGTCCTATAGGATCACTGTGAGCTAGAATGGGACAGTTCTACTCTGTCCTATAGGGTCACTGTGAGCTAGAATGGACTCAGTGGCAGTGGGTTTGGGGGTCCTTAGAAAGCATTCCCTGAGGCTGAAGACTAAATGACAGCCCTCCCATTGTCTATTTTCATATACGTTTGCGGGTTTTTCATTGCATTTAGCACCATTTATATTTGTATGATTATGAGTCATGAATGTTAGCTCCACAAGGGCGGAGCAATTATCAGTTTTCTTCACCACAGTCTATGTAATCTCTAGTGCAGCACTTGACACATAGGAAGTTGTCAATAAATGTTTAATGAATAAATGAACAAATGAATGGAAAAACACATAGGATAAATGCATTTCAGTCATGGGTAAACAATAGGAATACTTCATCATACTGAGTCCACTTAACTTTGACAGTACTAGAAAGTACTGTACGTTTCAGTTCTCACTTGTAATTTTCCTTGCAGCAGTGATGCCGTTTTCTTTAATGTCAAGTAAATCCTAACCTCTCTTTGCTCTGGAGATAATACATTTATTTTCATGGTTATATTTTCCAAAAGCAGCTAGTAATGAAATAAGCGAACTCCTTTTGGAGTTTCTCTATTTGGAAACGTATAATTTAACGTGAAGGAGAGCAAATACTTGATTTAAAACTGGCAGCTTTACATAAAATTCGCCTTTTGTGTTAAATGTGCGTTTGTGATGTGGTTGCCCTCTGGTGGCCACTTACTATAATTTCACTGTCCTTTTTCTCTCTACCACCCTACATACCCTCCCCACAATCCCTACGCCATCTAGTCTTTTTCCGTACCTTGCATTTTCAATATTAAAGTAATCATTTCGTTGTAAGATGCATTGGGAAAAAAGTCTTTTGAAAAGCAATTTGCCAATATATATCAAAAGTCTTAAAAATACTTCTTTAATCTAGTAATTCCATTTCTGGAAATCCTGGTGTGGCTCTGTGGGATAAGCACTGGACTGCTCGTACAGGTTCGCTATGAGTCGGAACTGACTCAACGACACTTAACAACAACAACATACAGAAGAACCCACCAGGCACACCTCGGAAACCCTATACAGGGTAGCTATAAATCACAACCAACTCAAAAGGCACTTAACCACAACTATGCAGAAGAAATAATTCTAAATTCATAATAAGCTTTATGTCCATAGATCACCAAAGTGACTGTTGATATTCCTAATTAGACAAAACAATTTCTGACAATAGAGAAGCAAGTAAATTGTATTATTTAAACAATGTATAATTAAGAGCACAGAAAGTCAATTCTGGACTTTACCTTGCTCAAATTACTTAATCTGCTTCCTCATCTGTAAATTTAGGATAATAGCAGTAACTGTTGTGAAGATTGAATACAATATATATGCAAATTCCTTAATACACATACAATGTCTGGCTCATCACAGGCAATCAGTGGTACTATTATTTAATGTTGCTATTAAAATGTTTTAAAGAATGATATAACATGGAATCATGATAAAGCCAGAATATAAAATGCCATGTGCCATAGGAATAGACTATTACAAAGGCAAAAGTTAAGCCTCAATATATAAGGGAATACTAAAAAAGGGTAAGTATTCAAAGTCTTAGTGGTTTCCTGGAGTGGTGGTGTTTCTTCTGTCTAGAGTTTTAGTTTTTGAGCATTTTGTTGCTGCTTTTGTTGTTAAGCACTGTTGAGTCAATCCTGACTCATGGAGACCTGGATAGGGTTTCCCAGGGGTAGTTGGTGGGTTTGAACTGCTGACCTTGTGATTAGCAGCTCATTGCTTATTCTACAGTGCCACACCAGGACCCAACTGAACATATATTTCCTTTAAAATAGATGCGAGTGAGAGCTGTTATTTTTTTAATTAAAATTTTAAGTATATATAGTATCTTTTCTCCAGAATTCAGTTGTCCCTTCATGTGTGCATCATATCGCATGATGAGTAACTTAACCTCAGCAATTTGACCGATTTGATCACCTTTTACTCCTCAGTGATTTCCTTCCCTTCAGGACATCACTCCCCTGATTTTCTTCCTATATCAAGAAGCTTTTTCTTCTTAGTCAATTCTGACAGATCTGCCTCACTCAACCTCTGAGCATTGATTGGGGTGTCTTTGCCGTCACATTTGTCCAAGCCACTATCATCGCTCTGAACTACACTGATCCCTCTCATTTGATCTCTCTGCCTCTCCTCTTGTTGCTCCCACTGGCCCCATCATAGGCTTCTCTCCATATAGCAACCAGAGTGATCTTTTAAAATGTAAAATGGAATTATGTTATCCCCATGCTTACATCTTCCAGTGTCTTCCCATCACTCTGGGAATAAGATTGATCTCTCTCTCTCTCTCTCTCTCTCTCTCTTACTCTCTCTCTATATATATATATATATATATATTTCGTTCTCTTAGGCCCAACCACACTGGTCCTCTTTCTATTTGGTAGGTTAAACTTCGCTTTCCATCCTGCAGATGGGATCAGGCATTTCCTCCTACAAAAAGTACCTTGATGTCTTTCTAAATAGATTTATATATAAAGAATGAAATAGCAAGATAAATAAGGGAAAAGACCTTTTACAGTTGGCAATTTGCATTTTCAAAGCATCCCAGAATTTGGTTGGAAAGGAGCCCGGCATTCTTTTCTGTGGTCAGTTACTTTCTTGGTTACTCCTACCAGATTTTTGAGATGTGTAGCCAAGGAGCATGAGATCAGCTTCAGAAAACACTCATTTGTTTTTGTGTTGTTTAGAGTTTTTGTTTTGTTTTGTGTTGTTTTAATGATCCACCCCTTTGGCCATTTATCAGCAAAGAGAATGTGAATTTTAAGGCAGCATTGCTTTAGGCAGAGAACAATAAACAAAGTTAAAACTTTAGCTAATTTATGTATATATTTTTTATCATAAAAGGAGATTGATTTTTTTTAAGGAATTTTAATTTTATCTAGTTCAGTTTTCTTCATTTATAGATGAAGAAATTAAAGCACAGTCTTTGCCCCTTTGAAATACAGGTAGTCCCCAGTTTATGATAGGGTTCCATTCCAACAACTATTGTAAGTCAGGTCCGATGTAAGTTGAATCTCTCTCTTTTTTCAGAAAGTTTTCATTATTATTGCTTTTTATTATCAATGTTTTTATAAATCTGATCTTTATTTGCTTTTGGGGGTTGGAAATATTACATATAAACTTGTAGCTTCAGCATCCATCCTTCCTGCTTCTCCAGTTATACACATAGTATATAATCCAAAACAAGCCTCCACCTGATGGTTGTGTGATTTGTAGTTACTTGAATATGTCATAAATCAGGGGCTACCTATATTAGTATTACTTTTCCATTTAGCAGATTAGAGTGAAGTGCAGAGAAGTCATTTGATGAATGTCAAATAGATACTCTCTGATCGGCAGTCTACGCTGCCTATCAGAAAGTAAGTGGTCAGAAAAGCAAATCACATTATTTGCTTCTACTGTATATGGACTTAAAAGATATGATCTTTATTATAAAAATCACTGTTTCAAGTTTCTATATGGAATGTCTTGAGATTGCTTGAGTTCTTGAAATATTTTACTATTTTTATATGATATATTTTATAATGTTTTAATTTTATAATCCAGAAAGATCAAGATAGTAAAAAACAAAAGTAATACAGGCAGAGTAGAGACAATTTAAAATTCAAGGTAGAAAACAAAACACTAAAAATACTATTCCACCTCATAACTGCTGTTAGCTTTTTGATGTATCTATGTCCCATCTGTTCTCTTAATGTATCAGTTTTCTTTCTCTAGAGATTTGTTAATATGCACAATATTTTTAAAGCAATGTAGAAGTGATGAATTTTTAAGAACTAATGAGTTTCTATGTGATTACCTGACATATTTGCCATTTTCAACATGTACAGTTCATTGGCATTATTTAGTTACATGTTGTACAACCATTAGCACTTCATCTTCATTTTTTAGATAATATATTTACCATTTAGAGTTATTGTTTCTCATTGACTTCTCATTATAGGACATGGCATGCATAAATAGAAGAAAAATTCTTCTGGAAAATATTTCAAAACACTCTAACATGAATGGCTTTTAATAGACTGAAAAATATTTAATAAACACAAAGGCTTGGGATCTTGTCTTGTTGTTAAGTGTTGTTGAATTGATTCCAACTCATAGACACCCAGTATAGGGCTTGCGAGGTTTTTATATCTTTGTGGGAGCAGAAAGCTTTATTTTCTCCCAAGGAGTAGTTTGTGGCCTTGAACCGCCAACCTTGTGGTTCACAGTCCAGTACTTTTCATACAGAGCCACCATGCTTCCTGGGGTCTTATCTAGAGTAGTAAGAAACAAACAAACAATCATAAGCATGTCGGACCAGTAACATTATATGGGCCATTTTGAAGGTCAGAGTCTTAAAAGCTGCCATTTGGTAGCAGCAAGACTTTTTTTCCCTCAAGATTAGTCACAGGCAAAGGGCGTATTCTCAGAATGTATACTGCCCAAACATCCATATTCTACTATGGAACCATTAAATTTTGTGACATATTTTTGTAATAAAATTTATCACTTTATTCGAATCTCATTAAAAATATTTCCATTGAACATATTTAGCATGAGGCGAGCAGATAGATTGATTTTATATATAATGCAGGTGTTGATTTTTCCAATCCACAGAATACTTTTGCATTTAAGATGTTTTTATTACAACCGAAATAAACAATTTCCTAGTTTATGTTTATTGTCCCAAAGACACATAGTTAAAGAGCTATCAGGATATCATAAGATCTGGGGGAAGAGGCACTGTGGGTTAATGTGCTGGACTGCCAAGTCAGTTATAGATCTGCAAGGTCAGTGGTTCATTTTATAACATTTCATTCTTTGGGTTTTTCAAATCTTGATCCAATAGTCAGACTATTTTATTGCTCAACCTCATTTTTCTCTTCTCTTTTTTTTGTAACTATTTCACTAGCAAGAAAAAGAAATGTATTTAGCGTGTCATAGAAAATTTCGTTACCTTCTTAGATTTCTATGTTGAGACTTTATACTCTCTTGTTTCTGCAGTAATCATTTTGGCCTTTGAATCTCTGTGACCCCTTAAAGAAGCAATGTAAATTACACTGCATGTTCTCACTTCCTGTATTCAGATGTCCTGCTACTTCAGTGTCTGTGGAACAGCCTGACTAATAGAGTACCAAAGGAGGATTGTTATAAAAAATATAACGTGGCTTGCCTCCTTTTAATTTTCTTTATTCATTTACTTTATTTTGAATTTTTGAATATAAAAATAAATGGATAACATATAACAAGTTCCATGTACCCACACCACTCAGAATTAATATTAATGTCTTTGCACTTTGCTTCATGTTTGTTTATACATGTCGTTATTGTTAAGTGCCATTGAGTCTAAGATTTCCAAGGCTTTCATTCTTTGTGGGAGCAGAAAGCCTCATCTTTCTCCTGCTGAGTGGCTGGTGGGCTTGAGCCGTGACTTTGTGGTTGGTTCACAGTTCAGTGCTTATATGGAGCCACTATGATCCCTAGTTATACATTATTGTTGTTGCTAAGTGCCTTTGAACTGGTTCCGACTCATAGCAACCCTGTGTAGGTTTTCCAAGGAAAGGCTAGTGAGCTTGAACTCTATAGACCTTGTAATTCAAAGCAACCTTGCAGTCCAGCACAGTGACTTGCAGCGCAACACCAGGACTCCAAAAGAGGATGTTAAAACTTTGAGGTCCTCACTCTTGAGGTTTAGATCTAATTCTTTCCTTGTGTGTGTGTGTTGTTGTTGTTATTAAGTATCATCGAGTCAGTTCCTACTTACAGCGACCTTGTATAGGGTTTCCAAGAAGCAGCTGGTGAACTTGAACCGCCAACCTTGCAGTTCAAACCAACTTTGCAGTTCAGTGCATTAACACCCAGTGCCACACCACGACCACATTTATGCATATGTGTGTATAATTATATACAGTTAAGATCTGCACAGTTCAAGACAGGTTTGAATTGTGTAGGTCCACGGATATATGGAATTAAAAAACAAAAACAAAAACAACTCTGTGCACTGCTAATCATTCTGTGGCGAGTGGTTCATCTCGCCAGTAAATTGCATATTTTAGTAAAAAGTGATCTCTCACAGTTCTGGAGCATTTTTAATCATGTTTGCTACAATACCATAGGTCGTAACTAACACCATTAGACCTATACAAAGTGCCACTAGTGATGCAGGAATGCTCCCAAGAATAGAAAGGTCATGGTATTACAAGAAAAAGTTGACTTGCTTGATAAGTGCTGTCGATGGAGGTCTGACACTGTCGCTGCAGCTACACTTCGCACTTTTTGTGAAATACTTTTTTATCTCATGTTGAAAAAGCAGCTTTTATGTAGGTACAGTATATAATACATTATAACATAAATAATATGTGTTAGTCAACTATTTTATTGGTAAGGCTTCAGTCAACAGTAGGTTGTTAGTGGTCAAGTTTTTGGAGAGTCAAAAGTTATGCTGGGATTTTTTACTGCATCGGGGCAGGTTGGTGCCTCAAATCCTTGTGTTGTTCAAGGATCAACTGTATTTGAAATAGAACCTTTCAAGTCAAGTTGGGGTCCTCTCTGTTTTCCTCCCTAGTCATGTTTTTCTACCTCCTTCCACAGATATAAGCAGAGCATAAAATTTACCCATATCTTCTTAGTGTGCATTTATTTTTTGCTATGCATGTATGTGTTCATATGTTTAGCATATTCTGTATCCATATACTTAATAATGCTAAGTATGATTTTGCATAAGTATTGTCTTTCTATATGTATCATTCTGCAGTCTGCTTCTTTCAACCAGTGCTTTTAAGGTTTGTTTGCACATGGTCATACATGCAGGTTTAGTTTAATTATTTAACTAGAGTATCCTAACTCTGGTAGCGTAGTGGTTACGAATCTGGCTGCGAGCCACAAGGTCAACAGTTTGAAACTACCAGCTGCTCCGCGGGAGAAAGATGAGGTGTTCTGCTCCCGTAAAGATTCTTAGCCTCGGAAACCGTGTTCAGGGTCGCTATGGGTCGGAACTGACTTGACGGCACTTAACAACAACAACAACAGCATTCTAACTACAGCATAGTGGTTACGAATCGGGCTGCTAACCTCAAGGTCAGCAGTTGGAAACTACCAGCTGTTCTGTGGGAGAAAGATGAGGCTTTCTGTTCCTGTAAAGATTTGCAGCTTCAGAAACCATGTGGAAGGGCACTGAGTCGGAACCGACTCCACAGTACTTAACAACAACAACAGCAACATCCTTACTATAAACGTAACAAAATGTATCTATTCTTCTATTAATAGATTTTCATTTTTTTCATGGCAGATAGTTAGCCTACTTTTGATATGTAGTCAGTCCATTAAAGAGCTTATGCAACTCCACGGATGTGCTTAGCTATTCTCTAAGGAGTTTGCTATTTAAAACATAGAGATGTGGCAAATGTAGAAATAAGACGGGGTAGAATTCAACTCTGTCCATTGCCTATCGCTTTTTCTGGTTAACTCTTTTTGTTGCAGTCATGCTTTTTTGAAAATTGTTTTACTTTCAAAGTTAATCTTTAACTTTTTTCCCCCTCCTTTTAGGTGCTTGTTTAAACTGCCAGGGAAATAGCAAAGGGGATCACTGTGAAGAGTGCAAAGAAGGCTTTTATCAGAGTCCTGATGCCAATAAAGAATGTCTTCACTGTCCTTGTTCAGCAGTGACATCTACAGGCAGTTGCATCATAAGTAAGGCCTTTCTCTAAATCTTCATTTTAGGGGGAAAAATAGTGAATCCCTTATCAATAGCTTTGATGAATAAAGCTCTGCATATGGTAAGTGAAAAGGAATTGGAAAAACAACGAAGCTTTGTCTTGCAATCTGATTCAAATATGTATGAGATTTAAAAATGTCTAAAAGCAATGTAAGTTAATACAGGGATTGCAAGGAGAAGGAGAAAGGAAACTTCTTATCCAGACATAAAGTGCTCACATATTTGATGGCTTCACTCACTAATTACCTTTTACTGGGTGTTACATAATGTTGATTACTTCTAGCTATATAGAGTAATATTACAAATATTTTTAACTCTTATTGTGGGTGTTTTAGTTGTCTACTACTGCATAACTAATTATGCCACAATTTAGTGGCTTAAAACAATAAACATTCATTTTGCATCATTTCTGTTAGGAAGTTAGAAGCAGTTTAGCTGAATGGTTCTTGTTTGGAATTGTTTCCTTTCTTCCTCCCTTGCTTTTCATCACCTCTCTGCTGCTGGTGGTCGTGTGCTGTTGAGTCAGTTATGATTCATAGCAACCCTGTATGGGATTTCTGAGCACCGGCTGGTGGGTTTGAAATTCCAATCTTGCAGTTAGCAATCCAGTGCTTATCATGCAGCACATGAGGCATTTAAAAACACCACGGCTTGATCAGGTGCATGTTAGTCCGCAAGTGACATCTTTGCCCTTTAACATTTTCAAGAGGTCTGTACAGCAGATTTGCCTAATGCAGTAGGTCATTTGACTTACTGACTGCTGCTTCCATGAGCATTAATAGTGGATTCAAGCAAAGTGAAGTTTTTGACAATTTCAATCTTTTCTCTGTTTATCATGATGCTATTCATTAGTTCGTTTGTGAGGATTTTTTTGTTTTCTGTTTTTACATTGAGGTCTAATCCAGGCTGAAGGCTGTGGTTGCAGCCGCTATGTCAATCCGTCTCATTAAGAATCTTACTATTTTGGCTGATCCTCTACTTTAGGAAGCATAATGTCCTTCTCTAGAAACTGGCCTCTTCCTGATAGCATTTCCAAAGTGCATGAGACAAAGGCTTACCATTCTCACTTCTAAGGAACATTCTGGCTGTACATCTTCCAAGACAGATTTGTTTATCCTTCTGGCAGTCCATGGTATTTTCAATATTTTCTTGCCAACACCAAGATCCAAGGCATCAATTCTTCTTCTGTCTTCTTTATTCTTTGTCTAGCTTTCTTATGCATGTGAGGCAATTGAGAATACCATGGTTTGGGTCAGTCTCACTTTAGTTCTCAAAGTGACATTTTGCTTTTATGCACAAAATGACTTCTTTGCTTTTAAAGAAGTCTTTTGCAGCAGACTTGTTCAGTACAAAATGTTACGTGATTTCTTAATTGCTGTTTCTGTAGGCATTCATTGTGGATCCAAATAAAATGAAGTCTCTGTCAGTGTCAGTCTTTTTTCCCCTTATCATGATGTTGCTTATTGGTCTGGTTGCTTTATTTATGTGGAGGTGTAGTCGGTACTGAAGACATATCTTTGATCTTCATCAGTAAATATTTTTAGTCCTCTTCACTTCCAACAAGCAAGGTAGCATCATCTGCATATCACAAGTTGTTAATGAGTCTTCCTCCAATCCTAATGCCTAGTTCTTCATTTAGTTCAGTGTCTTGAATTTGGCTTTTTGGAGTGTGTTTTAAAGTGCCATGGAGTCAGTTTTGACTCATAGAGACCCTGGATGGGGTTTTCAAGGGATGACTGGTGAGTTTGAACTGTTGACCTTGTGCTCCATACACACACACACACACACACACACACACATATAGTTTAGGGGAGAGAGGGTCCGACTGGGGCATATAGAAAATATATATATATATATATATATATATATATTTTAATATATATATGAAAAATATAGCAGGTCAAGAATGTCAGCCGCTGTCGGAAACCTTATCCATGATTGCTGAGTTGGAACCAACTCAATGGCACTTAACAGCAACAACACCAATGCATGTAATATATATTTTAAAATACATAGAGCTATTTTTTTTTTGGCTTACCATTTTGAATGGGTGTTGAATTCATTCAACTGCCGTCTTTTTTTGCTAAAAGCAATCTAAGTATTACCTGGCTGAATTCCTTTATTTTAATGATGGGAAACTGAGGCCCAGGATTCAGTAATTAGTAAAGATCACACTACGAAGAGGTATACTAAAATGGTAAGTTAAAATCTTTTTCAATAGTAGAACTCTGATTATGCGAAAAACCATTGAATTGTACACTTTTGAATGTGTGAGTTGCTTGATACATGAAATATATTTCAATAAAGCTACTAAATAGTATGAATAGAATGAACAAAACAGTTATAAGCTGTTGTTGAAAATTAGTAATTGTTTTGCATATTTTCATTGTAATGTAGCACATACTAAATGATATTGTTGTTTTGTTTCTTTTAGAATTGGGTGAATTGGAGCCTAAATGTGTCCAGTGTAAAGATGGTTACACAGGCCGGAACTGCAATAAATGTGAAAATGGTTATTACAATTCTGACAGCATCTGTATACAGTGCCAATGTCATGGCCACGTGGACCCCGTTAAGACTCCAAAGATTTGCAAGCCTGAGAGTGGTGAATGCATTAATTGCCTCCATAATACCACTGGGTTTGAGTGTGAGAACTGCCTAGAAGGTTATGTTCACAACCTCGAGGGAGATTGCATCAAGAAAGGTAAAACTTCATGTAAGGCTGTAAATTTATTCTCTAAGCCTAGCAGTGAAAATCTGAGGACAGCTACCTTTAGTTTTGTAAAGCCTTCCAGTCCACAAGAAGACATTTCTGGAAATAGCATTTGATAGATATGTGCCTAAAGAGGTTTTCTTCCATTCCTCCTGCTCTCCCAATGCTCCAAAGTCAACTCTAGAAATCTAAGGACCAAGACAAAGTCATTGAAGTGGCCTCACATTTTTTTTTCATGTATATTTTCTGTTAATAATTGAAAAGTCCTATCATTTCCTTTATCCCTTGACTCCTATATTCTCATCACTTCCGATGATCATCAAAGGTCTTTCCAAGCAGGCTAGAGTTCCAGCTGAGAAACTAGAGTTCGTTCTAGCATCAGTCCTAACTTTGGGTCTAAGTTTCTCCATGTACTATGAAAGAAAGGATAATAATATTCATTTGGGTATTTTAATATTTTTAAATCCTTTTGATTTTAATTTCTAAAAAAAAGATATTTATTTAGAAAAGTATTTTTTATAGGCAAGTTAAATAAGGGTTTACATTAAAATTATTGATGATTATAAATTCAGGATGAGTTAAGAGATATTCAGGATTTATTAGATCACAAAAAGATTAGACTTTGACCTTCTACAAACTATGTTTTGCTTTCCTGTTAGATGGTGGACATATGTCAATAATAATAGGAATTGTTTAGCTGAGTACCTACCTTGTACCAGGCACAGCAAACATTAAATTTGATAAAGTTTGTATATGCGTTGCCTCATATAATCCTCCCCAAGAACTCTTACAAAGTAGATATTATTGTTTCTATTTATAGATGAAGAACCTCAAGTTTAAAAAGACTGACATATCCATAGCCACACAGTGCTATTTGATTCCAAAACCTTGAATTTTCCCATTAAATTTTACAGCCATTAGAGGTACAATGTGTAGTACCTTAATTAAAAAATAGCCATAATCCCCACAAAGGAAGAATTATACCTTGAATTAAAGGAAGGCTGTTTTCTCTCATGGCTGACATCAAGTTTGGACTTTCAAATTGTTTTTTAGATATAACTAGAAAAACAGTCTTTCCAATTTTGTTCTTACCTCCCTTGAGGAGAATTTTTACCCTTATGAAATGCTATCAAATATGTTGGACTTATTTTAGTTCAGGTGATTGCTATATATTCCTATTATTTTTAGTCAAGTAATTTAGGACTCTGTAGTGACATGTTTGCTGCCTTTTCAGGAATTTGTACAAATCTATCCAAGAGTGAGGACGGATGGAAAAGTGCAACATTAGCATTTTCCCACAGATTTTAATATAGATGTTGTACATTTGGAAAACAGTCATGAAAATAGTAGCCTAGCTTTCCAGTTTCTGATTCTTACCATTATATTTCTTTTAAAATTGTCTTTAACTTGCCTTACCTTAAAGAAGAGTATCATGATCAACATTCCACATCAACTTCCACTCCCATGTGTATTTCTTTTATTGTTTCTCAAAACTAAATCGTTTTGTCTTTTACATTTCATTCTCTGTTTTTTATTTTCAGAAGTTATTGTTCCAACACGTGAAGGTTCTACCATTTTGGTTCCCAATGCCTCTCTGACCACATCAGTGCCCACCCCTGTTATAAATAGTACATTTACCCCCACAACTCTGCAGACTATCTTTTCAGTAAACTCTTCTGAAAACAGTACTTCAGCTTTAGCTGATGTATCATGGACCCAGTTTAACATCATCATTTTGACAGTCATCATCATTGTAGTGGTGCTGCTGATGGGATTTGTTGGGGCTGTATACATGTACCGGGAATACCAAAACCGGAAACTGAATGCCCCTTTTTGGACCATCGAGCTGAAAGAAGATAATATCAGTTTCAGCAGCTACCATGACAGCATTCCCAATGCAGATGTGTCAGGATTGTTGGAAGATGATGGCAATGAAGTGGCTCCCAATGGGCAACTGACCCTGACGACACCCATGCACAACTACAAAGCCTAAGGAGATAGAACTAGCCTCCTGGATTGTTAAACCATAGTGTGTACAAAGACAGCATCAGCCTTTTGGCCAGACAAAGCCTGGATAGAGTTTGCTGAGAAAGCAAAAGCAAATAGTACACCTGAAATATTCAGGTACAAATTTGTAATGCACTTAGCCTATTACTTAGTAGTTTTCCCATGAAGAGCTGAAGCCTTCACTGTCGTTAAGGACTTGAAGTAGAGTATATTTTTGTACCAAACCACATGGGTGTATAGAAAAGTGGAACTACATTGTACAGCCCAAATTCACTTTGACCTTCAAATGGACTCCTGGGGAAGTGTTCACCAAACCACCTATCACAGAACGATGGATGTGCAGAGGGTAAGGACTGCTGGAAGACTTCATCTCCATTCCTGAAACCATTCTGTTTTTTTAAAAGGAGGGCATTCATTTTTCTGTATTAAAAGGAAAATCTCATTTTCAAACTGTATCATAATAAACAATCTTGATTGTTTCTGGGATAGGGAAAGAAAAGTCCCAAGAAGATCTTTAGAAGGGCTTGATTTTTCTTTCCAGGATTCTTTCTTAATGATGGGATTAAAGTGCAGGATAAGCTTCTAATAAGGCAGAGAAAGAATAAGGGCAGCATTCAGGAGCAGGAAGCTGGTAGTTCCTCAGGGTCTCAGTGTAAATGATCAATCATCTGAAAATAAGGACTATCCCTGTCTCTGGAGAAATAAGGTGTACATAGTTAATGTAGCATATTTGGTCAACATTTGTATCTATTTGTAAAAAAAAAAAAAATCATGTCATATTTTATCTAGAATTTATTTGTACAGCAGTTGATGGCATTGTAAAAAGAAAATATTAGGATTGGATTGGTGAAAATATTGTAAAATAGATGACAATATTGCTAGAGCTGGGACTCTGGTGAGCTTCAGTCAATTTTAGTCCCTCTTTGGACATTGCTAAAATTTATAAGCGGTTGAATGTTTCTAATCTTTCATTCCTTTTCTCAGTCCAAAAGTAGAGTTATAGGCCCTTTGGCTTGTAAGAATGAAGAGTTAAGCAATAGATTTCGAAGTTACTGTTAAGCTGGGACACAGGTAGTACTTCTCAAGCTACTCACCCAATTAGGCACTAGTCCCATTATCGAGACTTCACTTTTACATACAGTAATGTGAAACAGATCCTCATCAAAAAATTTTTTTTCCTAAACACAAAAAATGTCTTCCAAAGAATTAGAAATAGTTTCATTCTAAAACACAAATAAAAGCCATCATATATATCATGTGGGCCCCTAGTTTTCATGCCTGTGAAATATTAATAGTCCTGTTCCCCCAACCCTCACTAAATAAACCTTCCTGTATTTCATTATAGCTTGTTGCTCAGTTGCCCTGAGCTGTGTGCTGTCTCTTGGAGGTGCTGCAGTTCTTCCATCTTTTTGACGAATTAGAGGGTAGCTCTGTAGTACAGTATGTTAGTTAGTCCCTGGTTTTCAATGCAGTTGGTTTTTTGTTTTGTTTTTCCCCATAGAGGCCATGTACTGTTATTGTCATCTATTATGATATTGACAGATTATGAAATAATTGAGTCAGAGAAATTTGCCTGAAGTCAAATATAGATATGTATTAGAAAGAGCAGCAAACTGTAAAATGGATTTAAAAACAAAAACAAAAAGTGAAGACTTTCTTTTAGATGAAACCTAGGACATCCAAGCTGACACCTTTGCCTAACTTCCCCAGAGAAAAACCTGCCATTTGATCATTGTTCTCTAGAAAAGTCCTTCACTGTTCTCAGGTTTTCAAGATGGTGTCCTGGAAGAGGTACCACGGGCGCAGGATAACCTGAGGTGCTCTGAATATGTGGACATTGCTCACAAGAGTACTATTACTTTGTATTATCTTAAAATGATTTAGCATTTCTGTAGCCCTTTGCAGTTGGCAAAGCACTTTTCTGTATCTGTTTTCTTTGCTCCTCACCATAGCCCCTTGAGGAAGTAATTATTGTCCCCATTTTGTAGATAAGGAACAGAAGCTCAGAAGGGTTAAGTATCTTACTTAAGACCACACAATGGCTTGGAATCAGGACTCCTAATTCCAAAGTACATGTTCTTTCACTAAAATGAAGAGTTGCCTAGTGATGACACAGAAGGGTGAGAGGAAGAGATGTCTAAATTTTTTTTTATGTACAGGTATAACCCAGGGCTGTGCAACTTGAAGGCCAGGAGGTTTACTATCTCAAACTGATATCAGATTTCAGAAGAAAACAGTACTGCTAGTTTGTACGTCATTAAAATCAACTTATCCTACTTTGCAGGAAAGGAGAACCTACTTTCCCCTGCCACTGAGGCCTGTGTACAGACTGTACACTGCTCAGTTCCACACTCTACCTTCCTGCCAGATGCCCTGTTGTCGGGGCCATCAAGTGGGTTCCTACTCATAGCAATCCCGTGTGACAGAGAACTGCCTCGTGGACTTTTCTATGCCACAATTTTTATGGGAGCAGATCACCAGGTCTTTCTCCCACTGGGTAGGTTCGAACTGCCAACCCTTTGGTGGCAGTCGAACACTTAACCTTTGCACCATCAGTCCCCTTCCAGATACCTACTCCCCCACCACTCCACCCCCCCCAACCCCCTCCCCGCCAAAGAAGAGAATTTAGAGGATGGTAAGAAATAAATGTTTTCAAACGGAAGTTAACCCTGTCATGAAAGGAGGAGTGTTCTTAGCATCTAGAGCCAAAGCAAAATTGGATTTTATTTACATAGCAATTCCTTCAAACAGACCTTAAAAAGCATTGTTCAAGTTGAATCAGAAAGGATGTTTATTTTTAAATACCTGTGAAGCCACTCCTCGGAAACCCTGTACAGGGTCGCTATGGGTCAGAATCGACTCGACAGCACTTAACAACAACATCTCCTAGGTCATGTTCTTAATTATTCCAATGGAACAGAATTAAGGTCTTAAAATCTTTTTTTTTTTTTAATGTATGTTTTTAATGTATCCAGCTTTTTGCATGTGAAGATGATTTTACTGTAAAATAGAAATCCGTTTTGAAATGATCTACCACAGAAATCTAAGTGAGCAAATAACATAGACCGCACTGCCCCTATGATCTGGCAGTAGGTTTCCACTCGTCCTGTAGTGAACCTGGTACGGAAATGTTTTCTGAGGTTTAGAAGTGTGATTATAATAAAATAAGACTAATTGAATCTTACTGATAGCTTCAGATATAGACTGCTGTTGAAAGACAGTTTTATCTGTAATTCGTTTTAGTAAGCCCGTGCATATTTCTGATAGATGCCTTAGATAGTTCTGTGAAGTATGTCTTTCCCCGCCCACCCTCTACTCAATAGCAACCAGAGCTCTTCTCTTAATTGAATTTCTCGTTATAGAGAAAAATTATCAGGAAAGCTAAACATTTATACTAAAGTCCTGTGGGCCTAATATGTTGATCTTCCTGGAATACCTGGATTTCAAGAGAGGAGTGCATAAACAGTTACAGGATAGGAGGAGAGAGACTTCTTGGAGTGATTTGTAGAAGCCTCAAATCATACCATATTGCTACTCTCCACTCTGAAGGAGCCCTGGTTGTGAAGAGGGTTACACATTGTGCTGCTAACAGCAAAGTTGACAGTTCAAGCCCACCAGCCGCTCAAATGACTCACCCAATTAGACACTAGCCACTCTATATAGAGTTGACTTTTACATAGAATAATCTGAAAGTTATCCTCATGGGAGAAAAATGAGGCTTTCTGCTCCTGTAAAGACTGGCAGTTTCTGAAACTATGGAACAGTTCTACCCTGTCTTACAGGTTGCTAAGAATCAGAATCACCTCTATTCTAGCATGAATGTTTCCAGGAAAATTGACCTTCAAAGCAATGCTCAGTGACCCCCTCTCCCCCTTACCATTTTGGTCAGCTGAGTGCCTTCAAGACAGCCTCTTTTGTGCAGCTTGAAAAGTACCAGTCCTTCCTCCTGACACCTTCAATTGGAACTGGATTCTTAGATCATCCACTTTGGGCCTATATAGACCAGATATATGGTGAACATAACCCCACTTAGGATCCCTGGGTTCTCTGGAGGTATCTGGATAAGAGTAGAATTTATTTATACATCAAAGAAAAGCTCTCTGACAAAAAGCTCAGAGAAGTAAAAAGCAAAAGCAACCCACAGTAATCTGTTCAAGCAAAGGAAACATTTCTGGTCTCATCCACAAAGAACCTTTGCTCTGTTACAATCTTAGTAGTAAAGAGCTTCGAAGCTAAAATGAGTTTGGTGTGTGCAGGGGAGTCATGGGCGGTTAATGCAAGTCCCCCCTCCGCCCCCCCATGGCATAGTCACTGGCAGTAAGGACACTTTGAGTCATCTGAAGAAGTCAGATAATATCAAATGGGCTAAAGGTTATGGATGATTAAAATGATACTTTTTTAAAGGCAGCCTGGAATTTTCCTTACTTGTTACTTACGCGTAAACAAAAACTATAACGGCAGTCGGAGAATGTAAACCCAGAGCTTCAGGTTTAAGTCAATCCAACAGTTCATTGATTTTAAATCAATTCCTAATGCTAGGCACAAGCACTCTGTAATACATTAAATTTCAGCCAAAGCAATTAGGGAATGTTTCTGAAACATTAAGTTTGTATTTATGTCACTGAAATTCTAACACAAACTTGAAACCCAAGTCACATAATATGCTGTACTAGGCTTCATGATGCATTTCTAAATTTGTGTATGATTTGAATATATGAAAGAATTTATACAAGAGTGTTATTTAAAATTATTAAAAATAAATGTATATAATTTGTACCTATTGTAGATTGGTGGTTTTACTTTTTTATGTGGTCAGTGTTGTTAGAAGTTTTTAATATACGACATTGATCATTTATTTTCAACCTACTTCGTGATAACCTTTGAATCCTTCATTTATTGACTAGTTTTTAAGAAGTTCATTTAAAGAATGTTTTCTACTTGAGAAAAACTAGCACATGAATAAAGTCCCCCCCTCTTTAATAAGGA